ATTGTTGTTTGGCGGGCCCAGGCTGGATTCAAACCCGTCACCTTAGGTATATGTGGCTGGCACCTTAGCTGCTTGAGCCACAGGCGCCGAGCCTCCAGGTTGAATCTTGACTTTGTTATCTATTAACTGAGATCTTGGGCAAGTGATTTCACTTATTTTGACCTTACTTTCCTCGTTGGAAAAACAGGCAAAACAAATGATGGTCTATTCCAGAGTTTTTGTGAGGATTAAATGACCTAATAAAATCACTCAGCACAAGCTGGGTGCGGTGACTCACGCCTGTAATCCTAGCACTCTGGGGAGGCTGAAGTGGCTAGATTGGTTGAGCTCAGGAACTGGAGAGCAGCATGAGGAAGAGCAAGACCCCATCACTATTAAAAACAGAAAAACTATGCCTCGGCGCCTGTGGCTCAAGTGGCTAAAGCACCAGCCACAAACACCTGAGCTGGAGGGTTTGAATTCAGCCCAGGCAGCTAAACAACAATGATGGCTGCAACCAAAAAATAGCTGGCGTTGTGGTGGGCGCCTATAGTCCCAGCTACTTGGGAGGCAGAGGCAGGAGAATCGCTTGAGCCCACGAGTGTGAGGTTGCTGTGAGCTGTGATGCCACCATACTCTACCCAGGGTGACAGCTGGAGGCTCTCTCTGAAAAAAAAAAAAATAAATAAATAAAAAGGAAAAGAAAAACTAGCTGGGCACTGTGGAAGTGCCTGTTGTCCCAGGTACTGGGGAAGCTGAGGCAAGGGAATTGCTCAAACCCAAGAGTTTGAAGTTGCTGTGAGCTATGAAACCACAGAGCTCTATCCAGGGTGACAGAGTGAGACTGTCTCAAAAAAAAAAAAAAAATCACTCAGGACAGTGCCTGGCACATTACGTGCCATTATTATTATTACTCAAGTTCAGATCCATAAACTTTCTACACAAATTTATTTTTGTGTTTTCATTTGGATGAACATCTAAAAACAATACAAGCATATTCTAGATCCTCTGGATAATCAATTTATGACAGCCACTATCCACAACTGGCTTTTTATTTATTGTTCAGTTAGTAACAACTGGTTGTCTATTTTAATTGTTGTGAGGTCAGGGGAAAAAAACTTTAAGTGGCTGTCACAGACAACTGATAGTTGTTCATGTTAGGCCAAATGACATCGCTGAGTTGTATGAATAAACATTTCCCAAGGAGGTGGGAAATTGACTCATGGTGGTGAACGTGGCAGCGTACAAGCATGAAGGCCACACAATCAACTGTCCAAAGATATTGGTCCGGGAACGTTTTAGAGGCAAATACATAATTAACAATAGCATCTGCGAATGGTAAACGAGATATAACCTGATTGGGGCTTGGGGGAATTTGCAGAGCTAACTTACAAATTATTTTAGTTTCATGGTTTTATAAGAGCTAAGCACTGCTTAAACACGATTGCACCTTCGTTCATATTTAAGCTTTGGTACAATAATTTAAATGAGCTCTGTGTTACAGGACGCGGGAATGACTTTCCACTCTCGGGGCTGCCTAGGCTTAAACTGGGAAGCGGGGCGGTCTCCGCGTCCTAGGCCCCACATCCGCGGAGTGCAAGCTGCCCAGAGGGCCCAGGTCTGTTTTCGGGCGGCTCCCATGTTCCCAAGTTTCCATGAACTCACCTTTACGAAGCTGTCTGCGTCCGGGAAGCCCGGCAATACCATCTCCCCGTCAGACTTGGTTGTGCTGGCCGATGATGGGGCCTTACGCTCCCGAGGACTGGGAGGCGCCATTTTCCCGGCCCGCAGAGCTCTTCTCGCGAGAGTATCCGGCCGACGCGCGCGTGCGCACCACGCAAGAGCAAAGACGGGCGGGGCGCGCGGGAGGCTGGGTTGGAGTGTCGTTCAGAGCGCTGGGGTAGAGACCCTTACGTTTTACTTTAACCTCAGATTGCATCAGCTGACAACCCTATGAGAGAGAGTGTGACCTGGAGGACCCAGTTCTCCTTTTTAAAGCCAGCTCTTGCCAAACTCTGCGTCCATATTCCCCGTAACCGCTAGATCTTGGCTCCTGCAATTACAGCATCCTCCGATTCTCAGGCGCCTCTTCTGTCTCCTTTCTACTGGTTCATTCTTGACAGCCTACGCAAACGCTGATATCTCTCCCAGCTACAAATGAGAAGAAAAAACCCACCACCCCCGATATCTCCCAATCCCGATCTTGTTTCTCTTGCCATAGGTGAAAAGCCTCAGGGCACTCCCTCTGCCCTTTGCTCAGCCTGTGGACACGAACCGCTCTTGTTAAGGAACACGGTGGGAACTCCATAAACCTTTACGCGAACGACTAGAAGAGCTCGGAGACACTCTTAATATTAGACAGCTGAGACGATGGATTCTTGTAAGTTCAATGGGGGTATAGTCTGTCTCCTAAAATGAGATGTACCACATCCTTAATACAATTCATTTGGTTTATTAAATCTTGAATAAACCTTCAGAATATTCACCTTTTCTTTCCCATGTGTGTACTTCAGGTTCACAGGTATCCTGGCAGGACAAAAGCCCAGTTCATTTTAGCAACTAGTATTTTTGAACCCTTAGTTCATATGGTTCAGCCTAATATCATGTTGTAGGCTGTGCTAAGTGCTTCCCCTGAATTTTATCCTCCAAATAATCTCACAACATAGTTGGTACTCCATGCATTACCCACACTCTCAGATGAGGAAGAAGCAGAGAAAAATGAAGTATCCAAAGTCACACAGCGTGTATGAGATGTTGAGATTTGAAACTCAGTAATTTGACACTACAGCCTTAATTCTTAAAAATTACAGTTGAAAGCCAGGCATAGTGGCTCACGCCTGTAATTCTAGCATTTTGGGAAGCTGAGGTGGGTGGACTGCTCTAGACTAGCCTGAGCAAGACTGAGACCCTGTCTCTACTAAAAATAGAAAAACTAGTTGGGCTTTGTGGCAAGCACCTGTAGTCCCAGCTACTCGGGAGTCTGAGGCAAGAGGGTTGCTTGAACCCAGGAGTTGGAGGTTGCTGTGAGGTATAATGATGCCCTAGCACTCTAGCTTGGGCATCAGAGCAAGACTGTCTCAAAACAACAAAAAACAGCACTTTAAAAAAATAATTGAATTGTGCACTTATTTATTTTGAGATAGAGTCTCACTTTGTTCCCCTCGGTAGAGTGCTGTAACATCACAGCTCACAGCAACCTCTAACTCTTGAGCTTAATTGATTCTCTTGCCTCAGCCTCCCAAGTAGCTGGGACTACAGGTGCCCACCACAAGGTCTGGCTATTTTGTTGTTGTTGTTATCATTGTTGTTAAGCTGGCTCGGGCCAGATTCAAATCTGCCAGCCTCGGTGTATATGGCTGGCATCATACCCACTGAACTATGGGCACTACCAATATTTTTTGTTTTTTTAGAGACAGAGTCTTACTATGTTGCACAGGCTGGTCTTGAATTCTTGGCCTCAAGCAATCCTCCTGCCTAGGCATCCCAAAATACAGGTGTGAGCCATTGCACCTGACCCATCTTTGTAATAGAAAAGTTCTCCAGGGCAGCGCCTGTGGCTCAGTGGGTAGGGCACTGGCCCCATAAACCAAGGGTGGCGGGTTCAAACCATGCCCGGCCGAACTGCACAAAAATAGCCGGGTGTTGTAGTGGGTACCTATAGTCCTAACTACTCGGAAGGCTGAGGCAAGAGAATCGCCTAAGTCCAGGGGTTGGAGGTTGCTGTGAGCTGTGTGATGCCACGGCACTTTACCAAGGGCAATAAAGTGAGACTCTGTCTCTACAAAAAAAAAAAGAAAAGTTCTCTAATAAATTTTTATGAAACAAGTGCTGTGGATTAGGCCTTTTGGCATTTTTGAGGGATACAAAGACAAATAAGATATGGTTCCTAGTGTTGTAATTCTCCACTTTCTCCTAGCATAAGTCCTTTGAATAGCTCTTATAATGATATAGTATTTCTCACTGGGTAGCTGTGGACCAAAGTAATGTAAGAAAAAAATTCACTTCAATAAGAAAGGAGGTGGCTTATTAAAATATAAGAAACTACACCCCCCCCCCCCAAAAAAAAGGGCGCTGGCTACATGCACTAGGGTTGGTGGGTTTGAACCCAGCCTCAGCCTGCTAAAAACAAACAAAAAAATAGCCGGGCACTGTAGCAGGTGCCTGGAGTCCCAGCTACTCGGAAGGCTGGGGCAAGAGAATTGCTTAAGCCCAAGAGTTAGAGGTTGCTGTGAGCTGTGATGTCATGCTATGCCACTCTACTGAGGGCAACAAAGTGAGACTCTGTCTCAAAAAAAAAAACCCAAAAAACTGAAAAGGATATTCTTTGGAAGAGCTTCTCTTTAGGGACACTGTCTTTATGTTTTTTTGTTTGTTTGTTTGTTTGTTTTTTGAGACAGAGTCTCTTACTATGTCCCCTTGGGTAGAGTGCCGTGGCGTCACAGCTCACAGCAACCTCAGACTCTTGGGCTCAAGCGATTCTCTTGCTTCAGCCTCCCAAGTAGCTGGGACTATAGGTACCCACCACAATGCCTGGCTATTTTTTTTTTTTTTTTTGCTGCAGTTGTCGTTTGGCAGGCTTGGGCTGATTTCAACCCGTGAGCCCCAGTGTATGTGTCTGGCGCCCTAGCTGCTGAGCTATAGGCACTGAGCCAACACTCTGTCATTAGAGACCTCTATACAGAGCACCTGCTGGGTCCACTTCACACTCCCTCCCCTATATTATTCCCACAGCCTCCTTCCTGGGTCTTGTGGTTTGTAATTTTTTTCCCATCTGTTTCACACTAGTTGTCTCATAAAAATACCATGGAGTCGGCTTAGCTCGGTGCCCGTAGCACAGTGGTTATGGTGCCAGCCACATACACTGAAGCTGGTGGGTTCAAACCTGGCTCGGGCCAGCTAAACAATGACAGCTGCAACAACAACAACAACAACAACAAAAAATAGCTGGGCGTGGTGGCAGGTGCCTGTAGTCCCAGCTACTTGGGAGGCTGAGGCAAGAGAATTGCTTAAGCCCAAGAGTTTGAGGTTGCTGTGAGCTGTGATGCCATAGCACTCTACCGAGGGCAAAGTAGTAAGACTGTAGTAAGACTGTCTTAAAAATAACCCCAACAAAACAATACCACAGAGTCCTCAATGAAGCCCCAACAACAACAACAAAAAAGAAAAACTCCAGAATGCCAGTTCTAGGTAATGGGTTGCTAGGCTCTGGCATATTAAAATAAGATTCCTGGGCAGCGCCTGTGGCTCAGTGGGTTGGGCGCCAGCCCTATATACTAAGGGTGGTGGGTTCAAACCTGGCCTTGGCCAAATTGCAACAACAACAACTAATAATAATAAAAGATTGCTACTGGGTTGTACAACTAACTATACAATTTTAAAAAACATTTTAAAATTTTAATTAAAAATAAATAAAAAATAAAAAGGCAATTAAAAAATCCCCCAGCGGGCTGGTGTGAAGGTAGTGAGTTATGTCGATGGACTGCTCAAGTTACAGATCCAACTACTCCTTGTTTTGCTCTTCTATCGCACTTGACTAGTCTTAAAAAAATAATTTAACCCTCCCCCCCAGATGCTACTCCTGTTTTAAATTTTCATGGCGTAAGCTCCATACTCCTTGTCCAGTGTGGGGCCACTCTACTTCTGGCCTCCTGTTACTCTCTGTTCCCCACTGACCACTGAGCCAGACACACTGAACTATGAGGCTCAATTATACAAAAATGCCGATTTTGCCAATTAGAAATGATCAAGTACCTGCCAGGTTAAGCCTTGACGCTGCTGTGGATACTGTGTGTGTACACGTCGGTGTCTCACATTTCTTCTGCTCCTGAGTATGTCTCACTTGCTTCATCTGATAACCCCCCACTCCTCCTCTAAGACCTATTCCAAAGGGCCCCCTTTCCCTGAGGCTTTCTGGGCTCATCTGGTGGAATGGGCGCCCCTCCCTGTGGCTCACACTTGCTCCTCACCACCTGGCTGAGTGAGCTCTTGGTTCTCTTTTGTGGCCTGTTGCCTCCACCTGTCTGGGCTGGAAACAGCCTGAGGAAAGGGGTGGTGTCAAACACAGTACTAAATGCTTAATAGGGTCAATGTCCCCAGTACTAAATGCTTAATAGGGTTGAATGTTGAAGGAAAAAATGCTTTCATCTTGAATCATCTAAAATGATAAATAAAAAGCCATTCAGATATACGTGTGTTTAAAATTCTGATGTCATTTATTGGCACAAAAATTATTCAGATACAACATGGTGTCTAGACGTGGCTACACTTTACACTCTGTGCACTTAGCTGAATCTTCACTTTGCTCATAGTTCCCAGCCTACACTAGACCCTCTGTCTCTGTGTTTAGCACCTCCAGGACAGTATTTCTGTTTTCCGAGCCCTTGTTCTAAGCACAGAGTGTTCAGACCTCACTGAAAACATCCCAGAAGTGTGCTGGGGAAGGCACACTGCCCCCTGCGCTGTGATCCCCATGGTGCATCTGCTCAGCTGAGGCCCCTGTGATCTGAATACATCCCCTCCTAGCGGTTCAGGTCTTAGATTGAGGGGTATGAGTTGCAGCATTGCTGGTCCAGCAGAAGACCTTTTTGACCGATTTTGCCCCATTCTACAAATGCTGCTGCTGCTGTCCACAGACCAGTGAGGTCACCAGAGGGGCGGCAGGGGTGATGACAGCTTCTCCTGCTTCTTCACAGTCTAGGACCCGAATCTTTGTCCTCTATGACCTGAGGCTTCGTGGCTGTGCAGAGTTTGCTGTACCCATGTTGAAAGGAATGACTAAGTCATTCTTCCAT